CTCTTTCATTACGGGTCACAGGATTACGGGTCCACTTGGACCCGTTAATTAAATCGGACGTTTTGCCGTCGGAACACATCGGAAAATATTTTTAAACGGCTTGTCTTGAAGCTGAGAGTCTGGGCTATATAAAGCACTGTGATTGGTCACTTGAAAATAACAAACGCAGTGATTGGCTGCTTTTTCTCTGTCTTTTGCTAAAAGTAGCGTGTCATGCAATTTGACCTTCAGTGTGACACGATGGCGACTTGAACTAAGCGGAGTTGCCTCAGTGCTGAAGATGTTTTAGGAGCTTTAGAAGATAGAAATGAGTCCAACAGTGATCGTGGAGAAATGTCAAGCGGAGAGGAATCGGTCATTGACCGCCAACTAATGGATTTGGACGAATCGATGAGGTGAGTCTAAAATATGCTACGCGGCCATGTCGGAAATATTTTTGCGTGTTTGGGAAGCGATGTAATTTTAGTCGATATCTTCATATATTGTCTTTGAAATATTGCTTATCATATCAAGAAATTGTTCAGAGATGTATTGAGCACTTTTCTTGGGTAAAAACGGTTGTGTTATGACCAAGAAAAAGAAAATCTTGCAAGCGCTGCAGAGCTCTCGGATTACCGAGCGTCTAATTATGTGACGCTTGGCCTAAAAATTTAAATACCCCGATTGAGCGCTTTGTATACAGTTGTGTATTCCCAGAGAATGTCTTGTATATATAATGAGAACATATTTGGAGTACTAGAAGTACTATTTCACGACTGAGAGACGGAGCTCTTATGCTGAATTCGATGTTGTGAAGAAACTATTTGTCAGCTAGTTATTTGATATCATTGTATTGTTTACTGCACGAGATACTTATATTCACCACATGAAACGGCTTGAGAGGGCATGAAGCAATTAGAAATAAGATAAGTTTTTACACTAAATAGTATAGGTATACTTGTAAATATATAATGTAATTTACCTATGGTGTGAATTTATATATTTTTATTACATTGAAATACATTGAAAATATACCTAAAGAGAAAAATAGTATGTACAGTTGTGTTTATGAGGGTATGAGGAAATAACTTGTAATCTTATTTTTTGTTATCAGGGCTATCATTTGTTTTTTGATAATTTTTATTCATTATTTGTTATTTTCAGAGATTTATTTGATGTCGGTGTGCTGGCCACTTGGGCCATATCCGGAGAACCGCGACAATTCCCTGTGAGCATGAAGAATGGACAGCAGTGGGCAAAGAAACAGAAAAGGGGAAGTATGTGCTGGGAAAGGGTTCCTCCCTGCCTTTGTTTATTGTGGATAGATAATAAGGTTGTATCAGTACTAACAACCCTAGATCATGCTAATGATAACGTTCCCACTGAAAGAAACATGAAGACAGTAATGTATGGACTAATGTATTAGTTGACCAAGCCAAGGCCATTGATAGGTACAATAGGTATATGAATGGGGTTGATCATTCGGATCAACTCATAGATACTAATAATGTTATGCGTAAGTGCTTGCGATGGTGGAAAACCTTGTTCTTCCATCTCATTGATATTGCTATTGTTAACGGTTTCATTCCCTTTCAAGAACACCAAGCCAATTTCCCAGACAGTAAGGATTTACGAAGAGCCCCGGGTACACGGTCCGTAATTTTAGGGAGGAGATTATCAGACAAATTTGTGGGTTCTCTTAGTATGCTAACCCAACCCCCCCCCCCTCCCTGTAGCTGTACGGAGGCCAACTCTCCCTATCCCCACCAGAGTGTTTGATTCTATTCATGTGCTAGAGTTTACAGATTTTAGGAGACGGTGCACGGTTTGTTACAAGCCGGGTAGAGGTGAGTTCAAGGTGCACACATATTGTAGTGCCCCACAGTGTGGTAAGTATCTACATGTAACTAGGGAGAGAAATTGTTGTTTTGGAATGGCATAATAGTGCATATTACGAATAATTAACATATACATGATCTAATATAAATAACGATATCAAAGATTTTGTTAGTATCCCACTCGATTGAATAATAGGTGAAGTATTTTGTAGATGGAAATTATTCATGGTAAATTTACATACATTTATTAGACCTAACCAGGAACAGCTACAAAAAAAGCAACTATAGGCCCAGAAGTGAAACTCGCGGCCCAGCGATTCCAATGCAGCAGAATCGAAGGGCCCCGAGCCCCAGGTTTGATTCCTGCCGGGGACCCGTAGTCGCATTGTTTCACAGCTGTTCCTGGTTAGGTCTAATAAATGTATTTAAATTCACCCTCAATAATTTCCTAGTACAAAATCCTTCAACTGTAATATAAATAATGATAACAGATACAAAAAAGGAAAATAAAAACAAAAGTGGATCATATATATAAGTGGGTGCGGTGTGTAGATCCAGATCCAATATATAAGTGAGTGGTGTGTGGAGATCCAGAAGCACAAAAATCAAAGTGGAGGAACATATATAATGTATCAGGGACAAAATATTCTATGCATACTAATATTTTTCTGCATATATTTCAAAACAAGACACATTTATGTGTGCTATCGTTTTTACTACATTTTGACGGTTTCGAGAAGGGTTATTCAAACAGCCGTAACTTTTTTTCTTTTTATTCCTTTTCAGCCATACTTGCTGGACATGTTGCTAATAAATAAGTACAACTTTGTGCATTTACATTTTTAGTACACATTGCAATATGTGGAACATAGATAAGTTCATGTCTAACATTTGAAGATACATTTTATAATTTATGCTAAATTATGCAAATGTATTTCAAAATGTACTGGTTTTTTTCAAAAGTGAAATAAAATTTTGATAGCTTATTCAATAAGCTTTAAAAAGAGGTATAGCTTGTTTTGTAGTTGTGGATACTTGTTGAGAAATAAGCCGAGGGAGAGGTGCACTCAATTTATGGTGTTTTGACCAGTAATGAAAGAGTTTAATCGTCGCAACGAACTTGTCTCCACGTGTAGACACGCTAATAAATATCTACTTAAAAACTTTATAACTTGATACTAATATTTCGTGACACTGCTTAAGGTGTTAATTGAACTGTAATTAGATAAGCATCCTTTACCATCTGTACATATTTAAAAAGTTCGTTAGAAGCTAGAGGTCAAACATAGGCTATTTTATCTGAAGAGTGCCACGTTATTTACGTGGTACGAAACTGTATAGTAATAAATATGCCAAACAAAGCTTGCTAAGTTTTTGTGTCTTTCTATATATATATATATATATATATATATATATATATATATATATATATATATATATATATATATATATATATATATATACACCGCACAAAAAGAAAGTTTCTCCCTAAATCATAAAATAACTCACGAATTACAAGATCAGTGGATCCGAACTCCATAAACTTCCAAGTTATGAAATGTAAAACCTCTACCTACTAACAGACTTATACGATAAGAACAACAAGAATATGGAACATATTACCAGGATCAATAACCGATGAATCTATCTCTCTAATAACCTTTAAAAATCTCTTAATTAACTATTACTATACCGCATTAGATAGGATTTTATTATAATGTGGATGATCCTCGGTCGTGGAAAACAATTTGCCTGAAATGTAACCAGGCACGGGACCTAACCAAACCTATTGCATGTTGTTTTTAAATCAGATATGTATCGATATATATACATATATGTGTGTCTATGTGTGTGTATGTTTGTGTAACAATGTACTTGTACGTTTACGTTCTGGGATCACAGTAATTGGCCTGAAGCTGTTGTGATTTCCTGTCACATCTGTAATGTTACATATGTAATTATTGTTATTTGTCATGTATTCTTGTTGTGACAAAGCTTGTAAAATAAAATAAAATAAAATAAATTCTAAATATATGATTACCTGATAATCACACCTATAGCACTGATTAGACCTACGGGAGTTTGCTTCATGCTATTTGAAGAATAGGGTCATTCATGCTCTAAAGAGTGACTTAGTCTCCATTGAATACAAAAATAGCCAATTTTAAGATTAACAAGAATGACTTTATTTAAATTTCACAACAACAGTAATGCTTCATATCAATGATTTGATAATGGGTGTAACAATGCATCACGCTTTTCGATAACTTAATTCAGCATTGTCTCCTCAGAATGAGAATGATATGGCCTGAAAACTTGCCAGATCTCAACCCTATTGAATATCTTCGGGCCAACAAAAGCGGTGAGTCTATTGCCAGTTCAAAGAATACTGCACGCGGGCTGACTTGGCTCAATTGTTGCAGGACGCATGGGTAGCTATATCTCAACGGCAGATGAGCAGACGCCTCAACACCATGAGGAGATGATGCCTTGAGGTGATCGAGAAGCCTGGTGGTTACACCCATTATTAAATCATTGATGAAACATTACTGTTGTTGTGAAATTTAAATAAAGTAATTCTTGTTAATTTTGAAATTGGGTATATCTATACTCAATGGAGGTTAGGTCATTCTTTCAAGCATGAATGTTCCCATTCTTCAGACAGCCATCAAGCAAACTACCATAGGTCTACCTAGTCCTATAGGTTTGATTATGAGGTAATCATTTATTCAGAACTTATGATGATATATATTTAGCAGGGAACTTTCTTTTTGTTAACTTGACGTGTGTTAATATATATACATATATGTATATATATATATATATATATATATATATATATATATATATATATATATATATATATATATATATATATATATATATATAT